ATTCCAACAGCCCTCGCAAGTCGTATTCATCCATTTGACGCAACTTTTCACTATCCATCTCTGTGCGTATGGACTCTAGCCGATCGAAAATAGCTCTAGCCTTCAGTCTCATGAAGGAAATACGAGATACCGGAACAGGGACTTGGGTGCTGGCTGCATTCGCACTAAAACTTTCGCCCGATGGAGCAGCGCCAAATGTCACAGAATCACTTTCATTGTCCATAGCAAACGATCCACTCTTTCTGCTATTCTTTTTCTTGCCCATGGTTTTGGTTATAGAAAACGGTTGACGCGGAGGGTGCTAGTCGATCACAATTAAATATTATTACGCAGCGCGAGTTCAAACGAGTTCAAAACGAGTTCAAACGCCTTTGCGTTCACTTTTTTGGCACTTATATATGCGATAGGTATGCACCGGTAAAAGCAACGAAGCGACGACGGAAAACCAACAATTATGTAAAGAGAGATGTACTCTGCTTTCGAGTTCGAATTTCAGAGAGTTATTACTGCAGCCTCTCACAAGAGCTGGCTGAAGCAAACGACCAAAGAGGAGGCGAAGAAAACTAACGGACCACGCATAGAACTCTATGCAGCCAGTCTCGACAGTGCGTTGCGCAGGCTGAAGCAGACGGTGAAAGAGAATACGAAAACGAATAGAGGGCCGCTAGAACTGCTAAGGTCGGTCACAACGACTTTTGGTTCGCTACTTTTTCACAAATGTCGCGTTAAACATTCAAATTTGGATTGATTGAATGGTTTAAACACTTTTAACGCACTGTAAGTCCACGGCAATCACGTCGGGGTCACCAAAATGTTGGAAGCTGCCGAGCCTTTTCGGCAACTCTGACTCCACATTTACAATAATTTACTCCGTTGGTTAAGTTTACAAATGCTTTTTATTTTCACGACGGGTTACAAAGGTTTTGAGGCCGTGGCCGTGAACTACGACTCGATGCGTTCGACAAATATTTGGACTGCCGCGAGAACAGGGCGAAGCAATGCACTATAAGCAGTACTGGAATATGTGCGTGTGTACGGGAGCGTACTGAGAGAGCGATAAGTATAAGCAGTATAAGAGATGATATATGACTATATGATATTAAGAAGAACTATTATCGGCTGCTGCTCCGAACAGGTTATATACATATATATTTCCAGGTTTATATGAATCGACGGTTTTTCCAACTGAGGCATTCAAATCGTTTATACATTAAAAAAAGTGTAAAGCCCCAAATCTATCACACGCGTTCGTACTCTTTCGTAGTGACCAGACGTTTTTTTGTTTTGTTTCCATTTAGTTTGCTTAAACAGCTTAACTCTCCTACTAAATCACATTAAAATCAATCTTTGCCGTCTATCACTCTCTCTCTATCACCTAACTCTCAATAACTGTTCTTTCCCTCTCGCTCTCGTAACTTTCTGTGCAGTAACGCTCTCACTTATAAGCTGTTGCTGCAACCACTCTGCTCTCTCGTCTTAGTTTTTCTGAGCATTTTTAAGCATTTTTCTGCACATTGGTCTAATTGCTAATTGTTTTTACTTTTTTTTCTCGAAAAAAAAAATTTTGAAAAGAAGCAGATCACCTATGACCAGCCCAATATCACTTGCTGGCTTTGCGAAAGCGTCATGCACGCAAAATGTGTAGGGATCTCGGACCGTGTAGGAGATGCCATTTCCCAAAATAACGGCCTGCATTATAGTTGTGAGGAATGCCGTGCTGTGGAAAACGACTTGCGTTCATTCATGAGGCAGACGAGGAGTGGCTTCAGACAGCTGGTCGTGGGCTTTAAACAGCAATATGATCGGCTCTTGGCCATGGACACTCAGTTCAGTAGTTTACAGATGATGGCAGATTCTCCGAGGCGCAAGAAGTCTACTCCGCGGGACTTGCAAGTTCCGACTGCTTTACATCCGCCGGCATCCGAAAAACTTACTCCGACCGCTCCCTTAGTGCAGCAGTTGATTACGTTTGCTACTCCAAGGGTAACGATCGCTGCTGGTAATGCAGATTCGGCAGCCAAATGCGTCATTTCGGAGAGTATGCAGTTAGAAATGTCTGTAGCGTCCGTGTCCGTCGAGTCCGCACCCAACTCCGTAACTATCCCATCAGTTTCGCTTCCACCAGCTAATAGACGTCCAGGACCACCGGATACTGCCATCATAGGTACTAAGCCTTTGCTAAAGCCACTGGTGGGAGTCCCACCAAAGCGACAAGTTTTTGTCTCGCGGCTAGCCCCTGACCTCACATCCAATGATGTGACCGCTTTTATACAAAGCAAAATAAAAACCGTCGGCTAAAAGGTGGGAAAATTTAACTTTTCTTACGCCAGGGAGATATCTTCCTTTAAGATAAGCGTCTCCCCAACTCAATTTTAAACCATTTGTTCCGCCAAGTTTTGGCCGGAGCATATGGTGGTTAAAGAGTTTAAGGCTAAGAAAAAGACTAGGCCCCTCATTACTCATCCTAGACCAGTGCTCCATCTCCATCCTCATCTTCCACCTCTACTTCCACCCATCCAAAAAACTTACTTCCGCTCTTGTAGTTACCTACCAGAATGTAGAGGATTGCGTAGTAAGCTCATCACTCTTTTCCTTGAGAGTCTCGCATTCTCGTCCCACGTTATTGTGTTTACCGAGACCTGGTTAAAGCCGAACATCCTTAGTTCCGAGGTTTTGGTAGGTCGGTACACAATTTTTAGAAATGACCGCTCGTCTCGACGTGGAGGTGGGGTCTTCATTGCAGTGGACTCAAACTCACGTCGGAACATTTCATGGTCCAGGTTCAACAAGACCTGTGCGTAAAACTTATTCTTCCAAGCTTTTCCATTTTCATTACTTGCTCGTATATTCCACCTTCCTCGGATATCTTTATATACGAGCATCACCTGTCCGCCTTAAAAACTGTTTCTTCCTCGCTATCAGAAAAAGACCATATGCTAGTTCTTGGTGATTTCAATTTGCCAGGTACTGATTGGTCTTCGGTAAACGAGTCTAATAATCTTGTGCTCATGTCACGACATGACTTTATCGACGGCTCGGTAGACCTATCCCTGTCTCAAGTCAAACATGTAAAAAATTCCTTGGGTCGATTGCTTGATCTGTGCTTTGTCTCAGATGCGACCATAGCGTTGCTAACCCGAGCCCTTCCGCTCACTATACCTGAAGACTCCTACCATCCTACATTCGAATTGTTGGTCGATATCGGGTCGATTACCTATCTCGATGCAGGATACGATTTTCACAGGACCCTAAACAGTTTTACAGCTTCGTAAATAGTACGCGTAGAACGTCCGCACATCCATCCTCGCTATCATTTCTCAATATGCCAGCAAGCAATGATCAGGCAATTGCCGATTTTTTTGCCAATATTTTCCAAACAACCTATTCTCATGAAAGCTCCTCTGGTCAGCCGTATCCATACAGTTTACTAAGGTCGGACGGCATTTTCAGTCCCTTATTAAATGAAAGCTCACTGCTTCACGATCTTCGATTAGTTAAGCCGGTGATTTCACCAGGTCCTGACGAAGTTCCCGGCTGTGTACTCAGGTACTGTGCCGACGCCCTGCTTAAACCATTCACCCTATCCATTAACTCTTCATGCTTCCCCCTCATCTGGAAGGAATCTTTTCTTATTCCGCTCCATAAGTAAAGGTAGCAAGTCTGATGCAAATAAGTATAGAGGTATAGCTAAGTTATTCGCTATTCCTAAAATGTTTGAAAAAATGTTAACTCTGCATTTGCAACATCTCTGCAAATCACTTATATCTCCGTCTCAGCACGGATTTATAAGGCGACGATCAACAACCACAAATCTTTTAGAGTTTACCTATTTTGTCATTAAAGGCTTCCAAGGTAACTTGCAGACGGATGTCATTTACACTGATTTCAGTAAAGCATTCGATTCTGTAAACTATTCCCTTCTAGCACAAAAACTTGACCTTTTAGGGTTTCCGCCTAATCTTTTGAGATGGATTTCTAGACACCTTCGTTCTAGGTCTCAAAGAGTCCTCTTCAAAAACTGCTTCTCTTCACCTATTAAGGTTACTTCTAGACTAATACAGGGCAGCCATCTAGGCCCCCTACTTTACACACTCTTTATTAATGACCTGCCTTCAGTACTAACAAACTCTCGAGTACTCATGTATGCGGATGATGTTAAACTCTGTGTCCAGTATAAGGATATTTCATTTCACTCTCGCTTGCAATCCGATCTCAATAACTTTCGGTCATGGTGTTGTGCAAATATGTTACACCTAAATGCCTCGAAATGCAAAATAATGACAGTTTATCGCTCCAGCTCTTTTTTGGTTCTGTTTGGCCTTTTTAGCCTCTGCAGTGGTTCTCTTGAGAGAATTACCTTGGTTGATGATCTTGGTGTTAAACTAGACCCAAAGTTAAAGTTTTCTGAACACATTTCTACCATGGTAAATAAGGCCATGGGTGTGCTTGGGTTTATAAAGAGGTGGTCAAAGGAATTTGACGACCCCTATATAACGAAGACTCTCTACATCTCGCTGGGGCCCCCAGTACAAAGTACACCAGGACCAACCTTAGCTCGTCGGAGAAAAAAGGTTGGGGTGATTTTTATGCATAACCTGATCAAGGGTGACGTAAATAGCCCTGACTTGTTGAGCCGCATAAACTTTATAATTCCTATTAGATCTACTAGAAACTTTATTTCTTTGTTCCTTCCTCTTTGTAGATCAAATTATTCCTTGCTCGGACCATGTAGGGTCCTATTCTTCAATTCCCTCTAACATATAATATCCACCACTAATTCCCTTCCTCTTCTTAAATCACTAATACTAACATACCTTTCCCGTAATTAGTACAATTTCTTAGCTATCTTTGCATTTTCAGCTCTTTGAGTTGTGTTTAGCTCTAATTTTCCTCGAATTTTAGTCTAACACCTATCTTTCCTGCATGCTCGCGATCGGTTTGGTAACACGCGTCGACACTTTTTTTCCCGTCTTGAATAATCTTCATATTATCGTTTACAGATGGCATACAAACCGTGCAAGTACTGAGGATTCAATCCAGCATATGCTGGCTACTGGAAGGGCTAAGACAAAAGATGGTACTCTTATTATATCGGCCGTTATAAAAGCCGATAATGGTGTTTTTTTTTGCACTGTGACAAATTCAGAGGGAACCGAAACTTTCAAAGTAGATTTATCTGTAACATCTGCATTAAGCGCAAGCATACAGCCCGTCGTACAGACAGTTAGTCTGGGTCATACTGCTGATTTAGTGAGTAAAGTGGAATTATTATTATTATTATTATTACTATATATTATTACCATGAATTTAACCACATTGGCTTTCAGGTTTGCAGTATATCTGGATTTCCAAGACAAAATGTTATTTGGATGAAAGATGGTGGTACTTTACGCACAGGTTCTCGTGTCCGACTCTTATCCAATGAGCGTATTCATATCTTGTCTATCGTAAAGGAGGATAAAGGAATGTATCAATGTATTCTGAAAAACGATTTTGAATCAACACAGAGCTCCGCTGAATTAAGATTAGGAGGTATTGTATCATAAATATATAATTATAAAATCAATATTCTAGATATTAAAATAAATTAATTGCAGAAGTTGCCCCTCAGTTGCTCTACAAATTCATTGAGCAAACTATGCAGCCAGGTCCATCCGTATCATTAAAATGCAGCGCTAGTGGAAATCCGACACCAAAAATTGTGTGGTATGTGGATGGGTTTCCTTTGCCTAACGTAAGTATTTTTAATGTGAACACATAATAAAGAAGTAGCTTAGAAGTATGCTAATAAAATATGTACGTATTATGCAGAGTCTCCTCCGAACGAAATACCGTCCAAATAAAAAAAAAGTAATAAAAAAATGACATATGGGCTAATCCTGCGTTACGGACGTTACATTCGTACGCAAATATACTTGTTCAAATTGACACAGCTGGCGTTCACATTGGTATATTTTCATGAAATTTTTTCGAAATGCAGTTCTTTGCCCGTTCTTTTAAACTATCTTTAAAATAAAAGGTTTACTGTTTTTGAAAAAAAATTATGCTTGCTTAAAGTTCCGTTACGGACGTTACAAAAAATGGAAGTCGACTTTGAGGCCGCATGCATTTGCACATTTTTTAGCGAATTTTGCACAATAAACAAAAAAAGTTCACATACAACAAATTAAGTGGAATATAAGACCATATTAATCCAGCAAAGAAAATAAGCATAAGTAGTCCCGTTGAAAAGAAATCGTAATTTTTGTCTGTTACGGACGTTACGTTACGGACGTTACACTTTTTCCATCAAGCAAATTGTGTAAATGGAAAATATTTATGTATTTACAAATCCTTTTAACCTTGAAATTATTAATTTATTACATACAAAAAACGTATAAAATATTTCATTACTATTATATTACATGTTTGGGGGGATCTTGGGGGATCACATGTTATTTAAACACACTTTATTTGTTATTGGGAGGTTAAGTTTTTCGGATTCTCGGCAACCTAGACGAATTTGAAGCCCAGATTCATATTCAGCAGGTGAAAATCCAATTTAAACACGTACTTTCACCTCATAATATTAAAATAAAATTTTTGAGTATTCATGCCGTTACGGACGTTACACACTTTGCCATTAGTATTTTTCAAAATATTGTGTAATGAAGGTATTTTTTTTTTTTCATTAGATTAAAGTGCATAAAAAACTCTGTTTATAAAGCTTGTTTGGAAAACAAATTTGTTCAAATTCATTCTGTTAAAATAAAAAAACCCTTTTTTCCCTTACGTACATTACACACAGTGTGCCCATTTTTAGTTCAAATTTTAATATATATTAGATAACTTACAAATATGATTTGTATCTTAAATAATAGAAAATGAAACAAATTTTAAGATTGGCTAAGCGCTAAATACTGTAAAGACTGTTTGCCCACTTTTTTGACCATGGAAAATATCCTTTTTTTTACAAGAATACTTGAAATCAAGAGGTACGTGTAGGTTAGCCTCAGCCAAGAACAAACAAACCACCGTAAAACCATATTGCTCATATCTTTTGAAGCTTGAATAAGTATCCTATTATTCCATTAACAAACATTTGGATTTTGAAAAACTTTAAATTTCTGCCTTTGGTTTAAAAATGTTTGGATTAGCCCATATACAGCCAGGCTCCGGCTTCCAATTACTTTTGCGCTTTACGTTTTCAGCCAAAAGTCATACTTTTCGATTCAAGGCGCTCTGACATTCGCAAAAGTAAGGTTTTGCCGTAAAGTTAGCCGTATTCTGTCTAGTATTTTTTTACAAAATACTGCAGTTATACGGGGTATCAATAGCAAACAGCTGTTTTTGTCGCATCAAACAATAACAACATAGCTGAAAACTGATGCGAAAAAAGATTCGGCTTTGGTGTAAACGCCTCGCATCATTTTTCCGCAGTCTAAAAGGCTATTAAGCACAAAATTTACTGCTGCTATAACCACGAGTTAGTGCCAGCTCATACAAAAAGGCCTTTGTTATATTTAACAGAGATTTATCAATAACCAAATCGGGCTGCCACAGCTGTTCGTATGAATCCACCATTTGTTGTTGCCCTGAACAATTTTTTCGGATTAGTTTAAAGCAAGGGTCGGCACACAGACTCACACATTTTTTTGGTGCGTTTGTGTGCGAAGACAACAGACACGAAGTCAAATACGTTACTTATTTCTCTGCCGCTTTGAAAGCCGAGGAATTGTGCATAGGGCACACGAATGCTTCTCTGCCGCTGAGGCAAGCGAGAAAAATATGAAGCCGTTTGTGCATAGCCCGTAGCATGTTTCTCTGCCGCTACGTCAGTGAGACAGAATTTTCTCTGAAAGTCTTTACGCTGTACGTGTGGCGACTGCGCTTCCCGAAATTTGTTCCTATGCACAGTGCATACGACGCTGCCGGCCTCTGGTTTAAAGCCTAGTACTTAGATCCATAAAAACACCTCGCGGACAGAATCAGGGTTGATATTCGTATGAAACCGATAAGAAATTTTTTCGGGGAAAAACTGTTTTTCTTCGCTCTTGATAAATTTTGGCCAGCAAATACGAAGCAAACATTGCAATATGAGAACAAACGAGAAGGAACGTGTGAGTCGTTTCTGGGGACACGACTCTACTTATACCCGTACTCAGTCAGTATATACATTATTGAGCTTATGATTTTTTAGAATTTTAGAAAAAAAAAAATATTTTACATTTTACATTTTTTTGCTACATCTGCTATCTACATCTACATATACAATGTCTATTCTACATCTAACATGTAGATTGTACATGTTCCATTCATATTCTACATCTCCTCCGCTAGGGGTTGCTCGCGCACTGAACGCGGCAGAGTGTGCGAGCGAGAAGGAAAATGAGTTGCGTTGTCGTCGGTGGGAGGGGGAGGGGAAGCAACTGAAAATTTCTTCATTCTGGCTATAATTATGATCCGATCTGATTCAGATTCGGCAGTCTGGTAGATATGGTCGTTCTCTACGATACTGCGTTTTTAGTTTTATCGTATCTTTAGAAATGTGCCGGCTACAGATTTTCTTCTTTTGTGGGGGCGGAAGGGGGCGGGGCGAAATTTTGAAATACACTTGTAGCAGTGGGATATCACATAAGTCTGGAAACCAAATTTGGTTGCCCTAGCTCTTATAGTCTCTGAGATCTAGGCGCTCAACAAGACAGACAGACGGACAGACAGACATGGCTATATCGACTCGGCTATTGATGCTGATCAAGCATATATATACTTTATGGGGTCGGAAACGTTTCCTTCTCTGCGTTACACACATCCACTTTTACCACAAATCTAATATGCCCCTTAACTCTTTTTTGAGTACGGGTATAAAAACCAAATGAAATATTTAAGTAATGAAGACAAATTGAATCTAATTAATGCAGCATTATATGAAGGACAATTATATGGATATTATAATATATTATTTTTATTAATTTTCATGAATATAAAAAAAATATTGTTTTCACGGTCTTCACGGTGGTCGGCACGGGAGGCGTCGCCATCTGCTGCTGCTGCTGCTGATAGCACTAGTCAGCCCGACATTTAGGCTGTGGCCCAAAATGACTTTTTTTTTATAGATTTCGGAGTTTAAAAATGTTTAACGAACTATGGTTTTTTTTATGGATTTTTTTTTTTTAAGAATTTTTTAAAATCTGTTATTTTTAAATGTTTTTTTTTCAGAGGTAGTGTTTCTATTTTTCACATAACTTAAGTATCTTATATCTATAGCTATAAATCCGACTCAGAAACAATGTTTCTGCAGCTTAACGCCTGTAAGATATTAAGCTTTCAACTTCAAATTTTATTATTTTTTTGCAGTATTTTTCCCCGAAATTTTGACTTTAAAAACTCAGGAAAAGTAAAAAAAAGAAATAATTCTGGTCATGCATTTTTAGTTTTAGATAGACGCATTATTAAGGCGTCGTTTAAGGTATTGTTCATTAAAATCTATGGAGAGACGGTGGAGCCAAAATTCGTTAACCAAACTTAAAACATGAAAAAATATAACAAAAAATACTTTTTGGAAGGTTGCGGGCCGAACTGCCAATTGGGAACAAAGCAAACGAAAAGTTGTTGCATTTTTGGTACCTGAACGTTTTCCTTGGCATTGGACCAGCAACGTACCGGACGGTATTTTTCAGGTAATATTAGTTTTGGTCAAACGGCTGCAAGTTTCTCTTAAGCGTCCATCTAAAACTGAAAATGTTGGCCAAGAAAAATTTTTTTCGACTTTTCCCGAGTTTTTAAAGTCAAAATTTCAAAGAAAAATACCAAAAAGAATTATGAAATTTGAATTTAAAAGCTTAATATTTTCCAGGCGATAAGATGCAGATAGAAAGTGTCTGGGTCGGATTTATAGCTGCATTAGTCAGCTTTTCAGAACTGCGTTCTATGTAACGAGATGTAAGATACTTAAGTTATGTGAAAAATAGAAGCACTAACTATGAAAAAAAAATGAACAAAATACCAGATTTTAAAAATTCTACAAAAAAAATTAAACCTTAAAAAAATAGTACTAAAAAAATGTTTAAGTTCCGAAATCTATCAGAAAAAGTCATTTTTGTTCACAGCGCAAAGAAAAGTTCAATTTTATTGAGTAGTGTCGTCAGACACATTATCTTGCCAATAAAATATTAGGGTGGCCAGGATATGCCTGGGGAAGAGCGACCCCAGCCGAAGAAGTGGACTTTATTAACTTTATACAAAACCAAGCAGCTGTCTGAGCAGTGTAACCGTACGGAATGCAGTGCATATATATTTGATATATATATTTTGATATATAAAAAGCCGTTTAACGCCTTATCGCTGTGGTCGATATCTTTTATCGATACTACTATGCGGTAGTATTAATGAGGGGACGTGTGCTTTGTCCTCTAAGTTTTTTTTTTTTTTTTAAAGTAGTTAAAAACAGAAATGGATATGTGTTTAAACAGGGCCAGAGTGAAGATTTTTTGAAAATTTTATTGTATTTTTCTCAATTCGCGCCGAATGACTGTGATACAATCATATTTCCATTTCTATATCATCTTTACATGGTGTATAGAAATCAGTTGGCCCGTTGAAATTGGGAACACTAGCCAAAAAATCAAATCGTGATCGAAAACTTATGAAGTCAACTATTTTGATATCGCCGGAAAATGTGTTCGCGACACGTGCAAAAAATGATGTTAAAATCATTTCCAATATTTTTATACCCGTACTCGACCCGAGTCGATA